TGGTAGTAGTAGGAACATTGGTTTGAATCCCAACCACGGCACCACCTGCCTGGAGTTTGCATGTTCTCCCTGTGCCTGCGTGGGTTTCCTTTGTATACTCGGGTTTCCTCCCATACTCCTCAGACATGCTGGTAGGTTAATTGGATCCTGTCTAAATTGTCCCTAGTATGTGTATGTATGAATGTGAGTTTAGACTGTACGCCCCTTGAGGGTTAGGGAATGATGTGAATGTACAATATATATGTAAAGTGCTGTGTAAACTGATGGCGCTATATAAGTACCTGAAATAAATAATGCAGCTCTGTATTCATTATACAGGTCTGCGACTAAAAAGCTGTTTGATTATTTTCATCTAATTTCCATGTATTTTGGTGTGCTGAAAACAAACAAAATATTGAAAAAACTCCTAGACGTCAAGATTTGCCACAAAATGCAAAATTGTCTTCAAATTTATCAAATTATTTTAATTTTTGGTATTTTTTTTATATTATGGGTTTTTCACCAAATTTAAAGTCCAAATTACTATTAATTAATTCACACAAGTGCATTTAAGATATAAAATGTGAAAAAAACCTTAAAGGGATTGTCCGAGTTATGTAAAAAAAAATCTAGCACTGTAAATCTGATGGTCAGCAATATATACATAAGCTAAGCAAGTTTTAGGGAAAAAAAATTCTATTTCCTCATTTCCCTAGTTCTCTTCTGGCCCTTTGTTGTTATTTGCAGGTAAACAATCTCTGCCCCTCCCCTCCTGCAAAGGGGGTGATTACAAGTGCTGCTCTGAGTGACATGTCTGACTACTGGGATACTCAGCAGCATGCTGTATGTGGAAGCCTCAGCCCTGAGTCTGTGCTTCTAATGGTAGAAGGGGTTCATCTTTCCTGAAGAATCCAGTGGGTGGGATACCAAATACCCTTGTTTTCTGTGTCTATGGGACAGTCAAGACCCACAAAATCACTGGACCAAGAAGAGTTGGCAGCCGAGGGTGCTAACAGTCGGTGAAAAAAATGTCCTCCGAGAAACTTTGGTACCTTCCCATAAAGTTCTTCTACCACCTCTCCACATAACATTGGGATTGATGAAGCAATTCGTAAAATCACTTCCAAGAGATGGAGAATGCTTCAAATACTTGGTCACCAAGTTTCCAGGCCTGTCGGAGGCAAAATTGAAGGAAGGTGTGTTTGTCGGACCAGACATTAGAAGGCTTATAGTTGATGAAGAGTTTGTCAAAACCATGACGGATCCTCACAAAGAAGGGTGGATTCAATACCATGACGGATCCTCACAAAGAAGGGTGGATTCAATACCATGACGGATCCTCACAAAGAAGGGTGGATTCAATACCATGACGGATCCTCACAAAGAAGGGTGGATTCAATACCATGACGGATCCTCACAGAGAAGGGTGGATTCAATACCATGACGGATCCTCACAAAGAAGGGTGGATTCAATTCCATGACGGATCCTCACAAAGAAGGGTGGATTCAATACCATGACGGATCCTCACAAAGAAGGGTGGATTCAATACCATGACGGATCCTCACAAAGAAGGGTGGATTCAATTCCATGACGGATCCTCACAGAGAAGGGTGGATTCAATACCATGACGGATCCTCACAAAGAAGGGCGGATTGCATGTAAAGAAGTCGTACAGAAATTTTTAGGCAATAACAAAGCTGCTGCTGACATCACTAACATATTGGACAGAACTGCAAAGTTCGGGGGACCTGTACCAGCAAGATGTAATTTTGAATCCAGTTTCCTGTGCTCCAAATCCTTTTTTATAGTAGTTTCTCTAAAAACGCCAGAAACTAACACCAAGATTCACCGCCTATTGAATTCACTGAGTTTGCTGAATTTCAGACCCTTGGAGAACCAAACCTGAGCATATTAATCCCTCCCTAGTTATCACAGGAACAAGCAGGGGCAGACTGACCATTTGGAAACTCAGGCACTGCCCGAGGGCCCGGGGTCAGTAGGGGGCCCCATGAGAGGCCCCTGGTCCCTTTTTCATAGGCCCTTTTGAGTTTGGGCAAGGACACAGGGGCCCCATGATCCCTTATTGCCCCGGGGCCCCATGAGTTGTCAGTCCGCCCCTGGGAACAAGTGTGACCATTGGAAGGTTTTCCATCACTTATTGATCTGATGACAAGTAGTAGAGATTTTGGATTTCCCTTTACTTTCTGATTTGATGAAAATGGTCACAAGGACAATTAGTCGCCATAGTGAGAACACAAAGTACACTTTAAGACCTAATTATGTCATCATTTTTAATTAAAATTTGCCTTGATTGCTATGTGTGATATTTCGAACACCTTTGAATTTGAACACAGTAACTTAGAGCTTCTAAACGTGGGCTGTAGATTTGCTTGTAAAAATATTAGATGCACACGAAATCCAGTTCTATTTCTTTTCTCATTGATTTGCCTTAATACATTTTATAGTGTTACTTATAATTTAAAGCAATCATAGCAGTTCTCATTTGATACACAAAGCAGCTTAGTATGTCTCTGTTTTCAAAAATCTAAGTGCCATTCTAGACTATTTAAGGCAAGTAAGTTATCTCTTAACAAGGAAAACTGCATATCTGAAGATCAGAATTATGTGTAATTTCATAAATCTCTTATGCGTTCTCTATATATCTTACAACACTAAATGAATTTTGCCTTCTAAATCTTTCATTGAACTAAAATGTGTCAAAATGAACAAGATATATTGTTAAGGTAATCTTCAAAGGCTGGTTACGTGATACAAAAATGACGATTTAATCCTTCCAACTGAGTATGTCTACTTATAAGTTTCCAGGTTTATTTATCTTTGAAGGTCTGTTCTTTCAAATATGTGTATAGAAACTGAACTATGCTGTATGCTGGTTAAAGGGAACTTTAGAACATAGCGTCTATGTATTTTAATCATTGTTTAATGAATGAAGTGCAATGTACATAAATACTTAGGTGCTAGATCTGGGTCTCCTATCATTTTAAAGATATGCTGTAATCATAAATGTTTCATTCTCCCATGAACTGTTAAGCTCCCAGGACTTCTGTGGACCAAATGTTAAATGACTTGGGTAACTGAGATAACGAATGACTTAGAAACCTAGTTCAGAACAGTACATCCACTATTAGCATTTTCAGCCACATAAAGTACACCCACTGCTATATTTATTACCCCGTGACGCACGCAGAAAATGCATGTTTTCATGAAACACGATTTTCTAAAATAGTTCTCAATGGGGTCTTATTATATGGCCCGGAGTTTCATTTTTTATCTTTTATGCCTAGAATAGTTCAGATATTCATGCCCCAATCTCTAGCCCCAAAGTAACTGACATAGTTTTTATGGTCTAAATGATGTATAAATGACCAATTATAAACTCAACAGTCAGCTGATATTACCATGCATGAAGTAAGCTTGTTTATTAAAGTAACATAAGGGCATTTATCTAAAGAGCTTCTAATACACTTCTTAAAGCAACATGCTGTAAATGTCTTCCTTTTTAATTGCATTTAAAATGATCTGAAATCAGACATTGCCAACAGTTAATTTGTTAAAAGATTCTGCTTTCAGCCTTCTATATTACAAAAGAAAGATTTTTTTTTTGTCTTTTTGTGATAATAATATTAACCTCCCTGGCGGTCTGATTATTTCAGATTTTTGGTGCTGAAAGCGGTACCATTATTTTACATGGAAATATGTAGTTTTTTATTGTAGGCTGTAATTTAGGAATAACTCACTGAAATCTGTCCGAACAAGAGTCTAGTAAACATCCCGGGGAGGATAAAACTTGAAACACGAAATCATAAATTATAATTTAATAAATAATCATAAAAAATAATAATATAATAATAATAAATTTAATTCAATAATATAATCAAACCGAAAACACTGAAATGTGAAATAGAGCGCCAAGTTCGCACATCGCTGAGCAAAGTCGCAGAATCGTTTTCAGTGTCTGATGATCACTCAATTCTGCAAGTGGTTCTGATTTACTATCGCTGTTCTCTAGCCGGTCTAAAACAGCTTTTGACCTAAAGGGACGCTTTTTGGACGCCATGGACTTTTCTCAGTTTCCAGGCAGAAAGAACAATAAAAATGCAGACAGGGGACAGGACAAAATGTATGTGAAATGGGTTGAAACAGCAATGTTTTACTATGTAAAATTCGTTTTGAGAAAAAAAAAAAAAAATTTTTTTTAAATTTTAAAATTTCCCGCCACTGGCGGCGCCCGTACGTCCCGACGTCACAGGGACTGGAACACAGAAGCCGGATGCCGGCATCGGCCGGAGGAGATGGCCGGGGACGCTGCAGGGGACACATCGCGGGAGCGAAGGACAAGGAAGTGCTGCAGGGAATCCCTGTGCAACGCCGCATGGTAAGCCCGAGTGTAGCTCGGGGGGGGGGGGTTACCGCTTTTGGTACTGACATTTTACCCCGAGCTACACTCGGGAATACCGCCAGGGAGGTTAAAAGAGAACTATGGCAATTTAAAAAAAAAATATTCTTACCTAGGTGGATGCAGCATTGATCCAATGCCTCCCACTGGTTATAAGGATGAGAACTGAGCAATCAAACACTGCTAATCACTCAGTTCTCCCTTCTGCTCTGAGCAGAGAGCTGGGACAGTCAGCACTGAGATGTGGAGGGGGTGGGAGCGGCTGGCTCAGGCCCTCAGCGGATTGTTGAGAGCCTGAGCTCCAAGCTTCTGGGTGGATCCCAACCATATGGTTGGGATCTTTCCCCAGCCTGGACCGGCTGAGTGACATCAGCTGATGGCAGACTTTAGTCCGCTGTCAGCTGAAAATGGGTCACAGGAGTGCAGAACAAACAGTACTCCTGTGATCCATATGAGAAGTGCAGTAAAATTAGCTTTGGCTTCACTTCTCCTTTAACCAAATGTGTTGATTATTAACTAGTTGCTGACCGCAGATAGCCGAATGACGGCTGCACTGCGGCCGGCCAGTTCTGGGTGGACGTCATATGACGTCCTTCCAGAACGCGCTCTCCTGTGCCCCCTACGGACACAGCTGATCATGTGATGTGGTAAAAGGCCAATCACAGCGGCCTTTTACCACCTGATCAGCGGTGTCCAATGACACGCTGATCAGAGGGAAATGCAAGTGCCGGTTCTCGGCTGCACTTTCCTCACACTGTCAGATCGTGAGGAAAGTACTGCCGAGAACCGGCAGTTGTCAGAGCGGGGATCGGCACCGATCATCAGGGCACTGATGATCAGTGCCCTGATGATCGGTGCCCAGCAGTGCCACCCGCAAGTTCCACCCACCTGTGCCCAGCAGTGCGCCCACTAGCTCCGCCCACCTGTGCCCAGCAGATCACCCACCTGTGCCCAGCAGTGCACCCACCTTTGCCCAGCAGTGCACCCACCTGTGCCACTCTGCAGTGCCACCTACCTGTGCCCAGAAGTGCCACCTACCTGTGCCCAGCAGTGCCACCTACCTGTGCCCACCAACCTGTGCCCACCAGTGCCACCCACCTGTGCCCACCCACCAGTGCTGCCCACCAGTTCCACCCACCAGTGCAGCCCAGCAGTGCTGCCAGTCAGTGTCGCCAGTCAGTGCCCAGGGGTTGTGCCAGTCAGTGCCGCCAGTCAGTGCCCAGCAGTGATGCCAGTCAGTGCCGTCTATCAGTACCCATCATCAGTGTCACCTATCAGTGCCGCCTATCAGTGCTGCATATTAGTGCCGCCTATCCGTGCCACCTCATTAGTACTGCCTATCAGTGCCCTTTAGTGCTGCCTATCAGTGCCCATCAGTGCCGCCTATCAGTGCCCATCAGTGCTGCCTCATCAACGCACATCAGTGAAGGAGAAAAAATTCCTGTTTGAAAAATTTTATAATAGAAACAAAGAAACTTTTTTTTTTTTTCAAATTTTTTGCAGTTTTTTTATTTATAGCGCAAAAAGTAAAGTGCCCAGCGGGGAGTAAATACCACCAAAAGAAAGCTCTATTTGTGAGAAAAAAATGATCAAAATTTCATATGGGTACAATGTTGCATGACCGCGCAATTGTCAATCAAAGTGCGGCAGCGCTGAAAGCTGAAAATTGGCCTGGTAAATAAGGGGGTATAAGTGCCTGGTAGGCAAGTGGTTAAAGGAAGTAATGTGTATATGTATCTGCTTTATATGAAATCGATTTGTTTACACTGTAGTTCATTGGAACGTGATACACCTTTCATTACAATAAACAAATGTTCAAATATATCAATGCAAAATCACCAAATCTTTCAAACACAATCCCTGGAAGGACTGCTGAATGAGAATGAGCAAGATAGCCAAGATTTCTTTTTACTGATGACCAGCTGGGGGATATGATTAGACAATATTTTATTAGTTAAATGTTTCAGAAACAACTTCAAAAAGAAGTAGCAGATCTACAAATAGTATGGTCAAGTGGCTGAGCTTCAAACCCTGCAAGCTGCAATTCTCTTTCTCTGGTGCAACCACTGTAGGAACTATCTGGGAATTAATCTTGCCAGTCACTCTTCTGCTATGCCTCGCACTTAGCTGGATGGGTCACATTTTAGCAATACAAATGACGTTGCCATATTAGATGTTTTTTTGAATATTACTTGTACCATCCCATTTCTTGCATAATCTGCCATGTTGTATCTCTTTTACAGGAACAAAGCAAACTGAGGTGAGGTGTTTTCTTATCTTCAGGTCAAACATTTTTATGTCTTTATGCTATGCAAGCTCACTTATACGCAGATTTTGACCAGATGACCATTTTCAAGCATCCATGCTCTCCATGATCTCCATGCAAGGGGAGCAATATCTAGGGGTTATCTTTAATTTTTTTTCAAACCCCAACCCCCCCCCCCCCCCCCCCCTGCGCCGACATGTGTGAGCTGCTGGGCCACAAATCTGGACTTGACGTTGGAGATGGTTGATTGGACAGAGACTTGCCAAGCCACACATATGGCTTCTTAGAATATATATCGGCTCCTGAAACCACCTATAAAGTGCTCTCCAGATAGTATTTAGCCCCAGCAAGAATAGACAAGTATGTCCCAGGCTATCTCTCTACTTACTTCCACACTTGCAGGGCCCCAGAAACACATCCTTTTATTTGGTGGACCTGTCCGATAGTAAAATCATTCTGGTCTGAAATTTTCCACCTTCTCTCACAGCTTTTAAATGTTGAGTTTCAACCAGATCCCTGGGTAGTTTTGCTAAACATGCACCAAGTAGAGCTGATGAAATTCCAGCTATTACTTCAAATCATATCTTCTAAGCAAATGATAGCCAGAGCTTTGTCACCTTGCTACTAAGAGCAGAATTATATAAGCCATGGTCCATGGCTTGGTAGAGGCAACCCTACAAGATAGAGTACACAAATATACCAACATTTGGCAACCAACCTGGGTGGACCATTGTTGTCCTTCACATTTCAGCTCTTCACTGCTCAAACCTCTTAGGAGCCATCTAGTGATGCCAATCTGGCCAAATTCCATAGCTAACATGACCCCTGGGATGTTCTTCCCCTTCTTTTCCTGGTTTCATCCCTTCCCCCTCCTTAACAACTTCTTTCTTCCTCTTCTTTAATGTTCACTGTATTCCCAGTCATCTTAGTCCCTTTCTATTTCCCCCTTTCAGCATTTTCTGTGATTAATGCAGTTTTCTTTTATATTGCTTTAGTAGGAAATGGAATGTTTTCTGATGACCGTATCAAAAATCAATGGAATTATTTTTCCTATACACATATATGACCTGTTTGCCCTGCCTGCATGGAGGCTTAGTTTAACCTATGAGCATTGTGGGGGGCTTTTATTTCCCTTTCTTATATTTGCTGTTGTTAAAACATCCAATAAAATCCTTGAACAAGAATGAGAGATACTAACATAAATGGGTAAAACTTGGTGGTACCGGCAGTCAAGCTAAGGGTGACCAAGCAACAGCAGAAACAGAGATAAGGCAGCAACAGCTATTAGAGCAGTCTTTGGTCCATTTCTTCTTGGAGCCTTTAACCCTTTGAGGACCAAGGGACATATTTGTCCCATGTTTTTAATTGCCTGTATCATCCGATTAAGAACTTAAAATACTTTTTTTTTTTTTGGTTTGAGTCAAAATATTAGTTCTTATCAACAAATGGATCTAGCTTTTTGCCAATTATTTCATGAAATGGCTTAGTTACAGCAACTGAAGTGTACCAACTTTAAAAACAAAAAAATTGATTCTTTTGGTGTTCCATGATCTTATGGTCCTCAAAGGGTTAAAGACTCTGAACTAACAAACATAGAATTAAAATTTGGATTTGGCTTGGGGCATCACAATTCATGACATGTGATTTGATTCTAAAGTTATCCAAATTTCCAGATCAACTCCATTTGTAATGGGAGACTTTGGATTCAAGGATGCAGGTCCCAACCAGCTTAGCAATTATTTGAATGCTGATAAAGAATGCTTGTCTTTATGCAATCATATTGATTATATTGTACTGTAGCTATTTTGTGTAATATAACCTGTGTGGGTGTTCATTGTGACACTTAGTGGTTTGTAAATGATTTTATGGTTTTGTTGTACTAACTATTTTTTTACTGGCTGCGTTAATAAATGTAAATACTTTCTAGTAGCTTGGCTGTTAATAGAATATATCTCTAGGTATGATATATACTAATTATAGAAGTCTTTTAGGCCACTGATATACATCTTGGATTTTACAATTGACACCTACATTTGTTCAGATTAAAAAAAAAGGGGGGGAGATGGTTGGAAGAGGAGAGGCTTGAGGGGGTGGAGCCTGACTATGGCGGCTCGGGAGTGTGCGTAGCAAGCACTCTCCGTTAGCCTCCCCTCATTTATCCTCCCCATGAGGCCCCGTAGATAGAGAGACCAGCAGCATGGAGAGGGATCAGCAACTCACCCTCTGAAGAGAGATCGCGGAGGTCCGGGGACGGTTGGGCTGCTGAGACCCAGGAGAGCGCCAGAGAGAGAACGGAAGGAGGACGCCTTGGGGTTATCCCCTGACGACCGCCGGCGCCTGCAGAGGAGGTGTGGAGTTGTCGGGGAGACAGTCGGAGCCTGGACCCAAGAGAGAGCCGGGAGAAGGACGCCTCGTGGCTTCCCTGCTGTCTCGCGGTGGCCTCGGAGGAGGAGTAGGGTTGCCAGGGAGACGCCAGTGAGACGGCTGAGGCATTGGAGTGGCGTTGACACGTGGGAAGCCGCAGAGGAGCTCCGAGTGTGAGAGAGAGAGAGGTGCCCGACATCTGACATCTGAGCAAGTGGGTGAAGAGATGCTGGGTAAATATTGTATTGCCCCCACAATATAATATATTACAAATATTTATAGTTGCCCACCATCGTCCTGTCTCCTCTATTCACCCACACCTCAACACTACCTATATACCATATCATATCAGCTCTGCAGTTCAATAGTTTTATATTATCACCTCCCTCAAAACGGCTAAAACCTCCAACTTCCACATTACTCCTGTTTTTTTTCCATTATGTTATCAACTCGTGTACCACCTTCAATTTAAGGAGACGTGATGAGAAGACAAGCTATATGAGGTATATGAGGAGACCCTTAGGAATCCCTTCAAGAGGACATTAGAGGACACAATTACAGAGGAGGAACGCTCCTGGAGTGGAGTTCCAGCGCGGAGGGTGAGTGATGACCGCTGGTCTTCCTGCAGGTCCTCTTTAATACTCTATATACATTGGACTTGTATATCAGACTTATATACACATTGAGTTTCCGCACTAGATTCCTATGTGCCTATAATAGGACTTTGCATTAAAAATTTAATTTGAAGAAATAGGAGATTCCTAGGGCGGGTCTGAAGATTGGGAGGTGTAAGAGAACAGGAGTTCCTTGAAATAAGAGTAAAAAGTTCCAAAAACAACATGAAAGGTAAAAATACCAAAGGGAGTGGGCCTAAGAACACCCAAACTGGTACGATTAAGAAGTATGTGTCACAAGGAAATGTTACCCCAGAAAGATCTCAAGGAATAAGTGAAAAAAGTGATTTGGAAATAAGCTTGGATAATAGCCCGAGATTCTCCCTCGGCCCAGTATATAATAGTCAATTGGAAGGCATTGAACTGAGAGAACTTGAAAGAGATATGCAAATACTTAATAAAAAAAGAAATGGCGGAAATGTTTAAAGGCTTGGAAAAATCAATAAAGCAAGAGATGGGGATGATCCGAGAAGACTTGGGACAATTATTAACTAGGGTGGAGGAAATAGAGGAGAAGGTTCACGCCCAAGACCAGGCCATCCCTAAATTAGAGAAGTGGATAATGGAAGATAGAAAAGAACAAAAGAGATTGCTTTATATGATGGAAGAACAACAAAATAGAGAAAGGAGAAATAATTTTAGAGTAAGAGGAGTCCCGGAACTGACACAGGGAGAAGATTTAAAAGAACTAACTGCCAAAATTTTGATCTCTATAATGGATAAATCGGATGAGGAGATGCTTAAATTGGACGAAGAGTATACAGGATTGGGAAGTATCAACAAGAAAAAGGGGTTGAAAAAACCAAGAGATATAATTGTTAAACTTCATAAACTACAGAGATAGAGAAGAAATATGGAAAAAGATTAAAGGAAGAACAAAT